ATTTTATGAGGTTAGCATTACTGTGATACCAAAACCAGACAAAGACTCCACTAAAAAACATAACTATAGGCCAATATTCCTGATGAACATGGATGCAAAAATTCTCAATAAAATACTACCAAACTGAATCCACAATACATGAATAGAATCCTACCACGATCAAGTGGGATTTATTCCCGGCCTGCAAGGTGGTTCACTATTCACAAATTAATCAACATGATACACCACATTAATAAAAGAAAGGATAAGAATCATATGATCCTCTCAAAAGATGCAAAAAAAAATTTGACAAGTTGAACATCCATTCATGATAAAAACCTTCAACAAAGTATGGTTAGAGGGAACATACCTCAATATAATAAAGACTATATAGGAAAAACCCACAGCTAATATCATCCTCAATTGAGAGCTTTACCTCTATGGTCAGGAATAAGGCAGGGATATCCACCCTCACCACTTCTATTTAGCATAGTACAGGAAGTTCTAGCCACAGCAATCAGACAATAAAAAGAAAATGTATCCAAACTGGCAAGGAAGAAGTGAAACTTACACTATTTGCTGAAAACCTGAAAGATTCCACCAAAAAGCTGCTAGGACCGATGGCACGCATTCATAAAGTCACAGAATATCATTTTATGTTGATTAAATTTCAATAATAAAAAAGAAGAGTTCAGTGAAACTAAGAGCTGAGTTTTTGAAAAGATAAACAAAATTGACAAGCCTTTAGACAGACTCACCAAGAAAAAAAAAGAGGGCTCATATAAATAAATCAGAAATGAAAGAGATATTACAATTGACAGTACAGAAATACAAAAAGGATTGTAAGAGATTACTATGAACAATTACATTCCAGTATGCAAATAAATTAGATCATTTAGAAGAAATGGATAAATTCCTTGTGGGGTGCCTGGGTGGCTTGGCTCCATCGGTTAAATGTCCAACTCTTGGTTTAGGCTCAAGTCATGATCTCACAGTCTGTAGGACTGAGTCCTGCGCTGGGCTCTATGCTCATAGTACAGAGCCTGCTTGGGATTTTTTCTCCCTCTCTCTGTGCCCCTTCCCCACTTTCTCTTTCTTTATCAAAATAAACTTAAAAAAAAAAAATATTCCTTGCAACATACAACCTGCCAACACTGAATCAGTAAGAAATAGAAAAATCTGGAAGGAAGTAATCCCTGCACCTATGAGGATTCTAAATAAATAAATGTTGAATGGATGAACAAAGGAATAAAATAATAAACAGATTAGGAACGAAGTATCATAAACTCTTTGTAATCGGGGTTTCTGGATGACTCATGGCTAAAGAAAATAGGGCATATGAAAATAATTGAATCTGTTTACATGCTAGCAAGTATCTATTGTTTGGAACCAGGTTGTAAGTAAAAATAGATTTTTAGATGTGGCTACTATGACGGAGTGATATTTATTTTCCTTCTCATCCCTTCATTGTCAATAAGTCTACAATGCAGCAAAGTACCTCTGTCTCCAGGACTGAGCCTGGTGCTATATACTTGATAGATGCTCAGTAAACACTTAAAAAACCAAACTAAATCATTACTGAAAATGTCTGTGAATAAAACTATAAGCAGTTCTGCCAAAACAAGAGGGTTATATAATGCATACTTCTTGATTATACACAATGGAATATTACTCAGCCATCAAAAAGAACAAAATCTTGCCAGTTCCAACAATGTGGGTGGAGTTAGAGTATCTTCTGCTATCTAAGCAAAGTCAGTCAGAGAAAGACAATACCATTTGATTCCACTCATGGAATTTAAGAAAGAAAACAGATGAACATAGGGGAAGGGAAGAAAAAATAAGATATAAACAGAGAGGGAGGCAAACCATAAGAGACTCTTAAATATAGAGAACAAATTGAGGGTTGCTGGAGGGGAGGTTGGTGGGAGAATGGGTGATGGGCATTAAAGAGGGCACTTGTGGTGGTGAGTACTGGGTGTTGTATGTAAGTGATGAATCACTAAATTCTACTCCTGAAACCAATACTACACTATATGGCAATAACTAACTTGAATAAGATCTTGGAAGAAAAAGAAAAGAAAACAGAACAATTAGTGATACAAAGGTTAGTGCATTCTAGGCCATTAAAGAATGATTCAGAAAATGAATGTTTGGATTTGTTTTTTTTTTTAATAAAAGCTTTGTATAGTATAGGCATCTCTGGTTGCACTAATACAATGGAATCAGTAAAGTAATGGATGCAATGGAACCAAAGTTAAGTTTACATAAATTCAGGCCTAGGAAGCCGTCCCCCATCTCGGTTCCTGAATTTGATTATAATTGCAAGCTTAAGATAAAGCCTTACTTGAAATTTTTTTGAAGAGTAAAAGCAAATTTGCAATTATAAGGGACAGTATTTCTTGTCACATACTCAGCAGGACCAAATCATTTATGATCTATGCATAGTCCAAAACAAGTCTTTCAACCTAAGGAACTCTACTTATGAAGTGAATGATAACTTCTATGAAGACACTTTAAAAACAAAGAGAAATCCTTACCTCTTACAGTTAAATTTCAATAAAAATTTCAATTATATGGAGCCCTGGATTTTTCCTGTAACCCTCATATTAAATTTTGTGCTCGTATTAAAGGAATTAAAGTCAATTTCTTTACCAATGAATTATGAAGAACACAAATTAAGATGAAAGAATGAACTGGGAATATGCATGCAAATATTGTGCATTCATATTATTATACAGCATAATCTGTAAATCTAGTACTAATGAGACTCAAGATTTAAATGGCTGAAGAATGTGTTTAGTGACTTATTGTCAATCAATGCCTCTATTCCAGGATAAATGTAATAAAAAACGACAACATACCTATTATTACAAATTCCTAAGTAAGTACAGTACTTCATTATTTCAAATGTCATTGTCAATTTATAGAGTAACAGATAAACATCTTTCCATCATATACCTGATTACCTTTTCTTTAGAGTAAATGAAACACTAACTATTAAGGAAAATTACAAACATCATTTTTCCAGCAATAAAAGAAACCTAATGTGTATTAAAACTCAAAACCAGTTACAGCACTCCAAAATTTCATATTTGTTAATTAGTGCTAATTTGTTAATCAGATTTTATACCACTGTAATCAAGAATTTTTTTCAACTAACTTTTTTTTTAATGTTTATTAGAGAGAGAGAGAGACAGAGAGAGAGAAAAAGAGAGAGAGAGAATGGGGGAGGGGCAGAGAAAGAGGGAGACAAAGAATCAGAAGCAGGCTCCAGGCTCCAAGCTGTCAGCACAGAGCCCGATGCAGGGCTTGAACTCACAGACTGCAAGATCATGCCCTGAGCTGAAGGTGAACGCTTAATCAACTGAGCCACCCAGGTGCCCCATCAGCTAACACTATTTCATGTGAATTCTGCCAAGTATTCATTTGTTCAATCATTTAACAAACATTTGTTGAGTGCCTACTTCATCCTACGTACACTGTTAGGGGATACAATTATGACCCAACTCTTGCCCTTAACAAATTCACAGTCTAATAGAAGAAAGAGACAAGCAAATAAGGTAAAATACAATAGTTCTACTTTTATTAAAACTGTCTACATATTTTCCATTTGTAATAGCTAATTGATATTGTATTGAAAGTACTTCCTATAGCTGGAAACTTTTCATCATTGCTCAGAAATCAAACTTCCTATTTGTCTATGAAAAATTTTTTTTCAATTAAAAATATAACGAAGGGTAATTTAAAAAGTACCTTGAAATAAGCATCTCAAATTAACAAATGTTAGCATGTGTTTTGTACTTTACTTTTAAGCTGTTTTCCAAACCCAGAAATTTTCTGACTGATAAAGCAATAATGATTACTTGAGATTATTATAGGTCCTACTAGCCATGTGATCTTGGGCAAATGAACTTAATTAACCCTTTTGATCTTTAGTATTCTCATCTGAAAAGTGAAGACAAATAGTACCAATCTGTACTAGATTATCTCTCATTTGCTCCTCAGTATTCACAATTCACCTAGCTTTCTGCTCAGGGAAGTTTTCTTGCCTTTCAGTTTCTGGTTGGGTTAGGTCAGTAGGAGGTACTAGCAGGAGATCAGAGCTTGGAAGGAAAGTAAAGCTATTCCCTGGTTTCCAACCTACCAGGCCACCAAGGGCTATATCCCTCTACCAGATATAGTCCTCTCGATATACCACCTTCTCCAAGGCCTTTAGGCCTAGGGGTGGTAATGGCTCCTTTTTGCCCTAGAGTTTGTACTATCTATTGCTGATTTCCATAAGTCCTGTCCTTACCTTTATAAATAGTTCTTTTATTAAACTGTTCTCAAATAAACAAGTTTGAAAGCTATGTGTTTTCTGCCAGAACTCCATGTGACTCATATACAACCTCATGGGGTTGTTTTGAGACCACATGAGATAATAAATATAAAGTGCTTAGCTCAGTGCTTAGCACATTATAAATATTCAGTAAGTAGTGACTACTATTGTTATTATCAATATTGCTGTTATTATTACTTTATTTGAGGTTCCATCCTCATGCCATTTATACCAACTGAATATACTTAGGAGACTGAAAAATTCAGAATTCTGGAGATCTTTTACTAATTCTCACAGTGCTTCAAAAATATGTTCCAATGTAAAATCTGTTTACTCGTAATCAATCTCAATATTTAAAAAGAGTAAAAGGATCTTGAAAGTGAGTGAAGAAAAAAATCACACAGTGCACAGGATTTCCTGGACTCTCGTTTCTTTTGTAAATATGCTTCGGAATTCATTTCCTGCAAATTGACCTGTCACCACTCCAAATCTAGCAAAGTATAAATGTCCATAAAGTTAAACAAATTGTTGGGTCTTAGGTCATGAAAAGAATGGACTGAAAGGTCAACTCAATGGTATAAAAGTCCTTGGTTCATCTGGAAATGCATCTTCATCATCCTTATTTATCAATCACGACATAGCCCCATTTGACAAGTTATCCCATGAAAATCCTATTAAAGGTCTACTTAACCTTTCATCTTACCTCATCCTTTATATCTTCCTGTTGTTGGGCCGTGAAGATCTCCATTGCAGCCATGAGTCTCATCATTAACTCATCCACTGTTGTGTTACCTAGCAACACATTGAGATTGCCAAATTTCACGTTATTAAAGTTATTATAAAATGGAAAGCCGTTCTAGAGTTAATCAGTAAGGAGTAACTAAAGCCTAATAAAACTTACAATACTATGATGCTAATATCTAGTTAAAATACTGTCACATTTTCATTGAAAAGTTTCATATGTTCAGTGTGAAAGAGTAAAGCAGTATATAGGCAGCTGAAATTTCAAATATAGTAGATCTGAGGAAACCACCTCTTAATGAGAAAGATTTTCAGCACTATGAAGAATGGTTAAGTCATGAGGATCAGAAACTCTTTCAAGTTAGAAAAACTCATGTACTTAAAGATACTAGCAACAACTACCATTTGTTTATATGCTAGTAATTAGGCTAAATACTACTACTACTACTACTACTACTACTACTACTACTACTACTACTACTACACACACACACACACACACACTCATTTAACCTGTACAACAATTCTTTGAAGATATCATTATGATTTTGACTTTGAGAGCTCAAGTAGCCTGTGCAATTAAGATCAAGCTGATTAAGTGGTGGGGCCAGGGTTTGAAATCAAATGAGTCCGACTCAAAAACCTTTTCTCTTTGCCACCTCAATACACTATTTATTTAGAATTATCTCTTATAACTAATTATCTCTTATCACTCTTTGGTGAAGCAAACGTTAATTCATTTTTTGAAAAATTAAAAAAAAAGAGTTCTTTTCTTGCCCAATTGATATTTTTCCCCTTCAGCTGCTTTTAAATGACTATACTATAAACTTTATGAGAGTACTTATTTATTTTATTTTTTTAAAGTTTTAATTTTAATTCCAGTTAGTTAATATACAGTGTTATATTAATTAATTTATAAGAGAGTATTTAAATATTTGATTTCCTTTTGGAGCGCCTGGGTTGCTCAGTTGATTGAGCATCAGACTTCGGCTCAGGTCAGGATCTCATGGTTCATGGGTTTGAGTGCCATGTGAGGCTTTGTGCTGACAGCAGAGCCTGCTTTAGATTCTCTGTCTCCCTCTCTCTCTGCCCCTCCTCTGCTTGCACTCTCTCTCAAAAACAACTAGTAAAAAATTAAAAAAAAATAAAAGCTTAATTTTCCTTAATGCTATTTTATTCCCTGCCCAATGCCATAACAAAAGTACAGCACATAAAGCACATATATGCCATTTCTCGAAAGCACTGTCCTGTTACTTGCTTTGGATATATGTGCAAGAGAGAAATCCATAAGGATACATAAAGATTTGGCAATTCTTCTTTTCTTTCAAAACTATAGGCAAAAGTGCCCATCTTTCTCCAGCGCTTGAGAAGGGTCTTCTTGTGTCACTGATGAAACAGGACAACAAAGAACAAGCATCCTTGCTGGTGTTATTCTAGAGCAGAGCTAGACTAACATGACCTTTCAATGGTCCTTTTCTCTATTTTCCTTATGACCAATGGCAGCAGGTTAGGAAGCATCTGTGGTCCTTAGTAAAAGAAACAATCTATATCAGTCACATCAACATTAGTCTCTCTCCCTCTCTCTTTTTAAATAGTTTATTGTCAAGTTGGTTTCCATATAACACCCAGTGCTCATCCCCATAAGTGCCCTCCTCCGTGCCCATCACCCCCCTTCCCTTCTCCCCACCCTCATCAGTCCTTAGTTTGTTCTCAGCATTCAAGATTCTCTCAAGGTTTGCCTCCCTCCCTCTCCCCAACTATTTCCCCCCCTACTTCTCCCCCATTGTCCTCTGTTAAGTTCCTCCTAATCCTCCTATACGTGCAAACATATGGCAGCTGCCCTTCTCCGCCTGACTTATTTCGCTCAGCATAACACCCTCAAGATCCATCCATGTTGCTACACATGGCCAGATTTCATTCTTTCTCATTGCCATGTAGTATTCCATTGTATAGATGAACCACATCTTCTTGATCCATTCGTCCGTTGATGGACACTTAGGCTCTTTCCATGTTTTGGCTATTGTTGAGAGTGCTGCTATGAACATTGGGGTCCATGTGCCTCTATGCAGCAGCACTCCTATATCCCTTGGGTAAATTCCTAGCAGTGCTATTGCTGGGTCATAGGGGAGTTCTATTGTTAGTTTCCTGAGGAACCTCCACACTGTTTTCCAGAGGGGCTGTACCAGTTTACATTCCCACCAACAGTGTAGGAGGGTGCCCATTTCTCCACATCCTCTCCAGCATCTAGAGTCCTCTGATTTGCTCATTTTAGCCACGCTGACCGGTGTGAGGTGGTATCTCAGTGTGGTTTTGATTTGTATTTCCCTGATGAGGAGGGATGCTGAGCATCGTTTCATGTGTCTGTTGGCCATCTGGATGTCCTCTTTGGAGAAGTGTCTGTTCATATCTTCTGCCCATTTTTTCACTGGGTTGTTTGTTTTTCGGATGTGGAGTTTGGTGAGTTCCTTATAGATTTGGGATACTAGCCCTTTATCTGATATGTCGTTTGCAACTATCTTTTCCCATTCTGTCAGTTGCCTATTAGTTTTATTGTTTCCTTTGCCAGCACTAGTCTCTCAATAAATAACAAATATTATCTTGGTGTGATGCCATGGTACTGAGAAAGCAGAGCTGGTTTTATAGTTACAGTTCTAACCTAGCGCCACTACTTAAAAACTATATGTTCTAGTATCTAGAACTGCCTAGCATGTGACAAGGGCTTAATAACTATTCACTTAGTAAGTGAGTAAATAAGTGACTGACTATAGCTCTCTGAGTATCAACTTCCTTATCAGCAGAGTGAAGATAACAATGAACACAGAATATACACAATCACTGGTAGTTTATTAAGAATAGATACAACAAGTGGAAAAAGTTTAGGAGAATCTTCAATGGAGATTTTGATACTGCGCAAATCTTTGAGTTTCCCTTTCTTATTTGAAGACTGTAGTGACTAAGACTCAGAGCACAGGATATGAGTTCTTATGTTTGTTTATTTATTTTGAATGAGAGAGGGAGAGAGAATATCTCAAGCAGGTTCTGGGAGGTCAGGCCAAAGCCTGATGCGGGCTCAATCCCACAAACTGTGACCTGAGTTGAAATCAAGAATCAGACACTTAACTGAGTGAGCGACCCAGGTGCCTTGGGATAGGAGCTCTTAATGGAGGGTACCAGAGAGGTGATTACATAATGGCCAGTATGTAATCAGGCTTTTTCAGGCTTAAGCCTGCTTGTCAACTATGCTTCAGATCTAACTGTAAGGATTCACTGCCAAACTGGAGAAAATGTACCAATTAATGCAGTTTTGAACAAGTTTTTTTCTTTATAGCCTATTGTAGTGGTTATAAAACTTTTGCTTTCAGAACTCATTTATACCCTTACCAACTACTGAGATTCCCAAATAATTTTTATGTGGGTTATTGTTATCAACATTTATTGTGTTAGAAATTAAATTTTAAATACTTAAAGCATATTTATCATTCATTTAAAAGTAACATTAATAAACCCATTACATGTTAATATAAGAACCACATTTTTATGAAAAATGGTTCCATGTTCCAAATGAGAAAGCTTAGCAAGAAGAATAGTATTGTTTTAACAATTTTGGAAATGTCCTTAATGTCTGGCTTAATAGAACATACTGGATTCTCATATTTACTTCTATATTAAACCGGTTAAAATACGTTGTCTTACATCTTAGTTGAAATTTATGAAGCAAATATGGCCTCATATAGATATGTAGTTGAAAAAGAGGAGTATTTTAATAAATAATTTTAAATGTTCTTTGATACACCTAAACTGACAAGTAGAAGTTTCTTCAAGTAAGTGAAGAATTTGAAAGCATTAATGAACTGTTTGCACTTCGTAATATTAAGGTCCACTGACCTATTTTGTCTTTGGATGGACCTTTTATCTATGCATGATTTTACAACATCATGCATTGGTTAAGTGGAAAATACTGGTTCACTGACTTATGCATTTCTCCTCAGTACTGACATACCTAATACCTATGATATTAAAAATCACATTTGTTAACATTATAACTGATGTCATCAGAAAATTATTTAAGCTGTCAATCTTATGGTGGAGGACACAACATCTTGCTTAAAAGCTCAAATTTTATCATTGGCAACAAGTACCATCAGTAATACCCAGGCTATCTAAGTATAGTTTGTCAGTATTTTCAAGCAAAAATGATGTTCTGTAAGAAAAAATGCTGCACAGCAAAGGAAACAACCCACAAAACTAATAGGCAGCCAACGGAATGGGAAAAGATAGTTGCAAATGACATATCAGATAAAGGGTTAATATCCAAAATCTATAAGGAACTCACCAAACTCCACATCCAAAAAACAAACAACCCAGTGAAGAAATGGGCAGGAGATAGGAACAGACACTTCTCCAAAGAGGACATCCAGATGGCCAACAGACACATGAAACGATGCTCAGCATCCCTCCTCATCAGGGAAATACAAATCAAAACCACACTGAGATACCACCTCACACCGGTCAGCGTGGCTAAAATGAGCAAATCAGAGGACTCTAGATGCTGGAGAGGATGTGGAGAAACGAGCACCCTCCTACACTGTTGGTGGGAATGTAAACTGGTACAGCCCCTCTGGAAAACAGTGTGGAGGTTCCTCAGGAAACTAACAATAGAACTCCCCTATGACCCAGCAATAGCACTGCTAGGAATTTACCCAAGGGATACAGAAATGCTGAGGCATAGGAGCACATGGACCCCAATGTTCATAGCAGCACTCTCCACAATAGCCAAAACATGGAAAGAGCCTAAGTGTCCATCAACGGACGAATGGATCAAGAAGATGTGGTTTATCTATACCATGGAATACTACATGGCAATGAGAAAGAATGAAATCTGGCCATGTGTAGAAACACGGATGGACCTTGAGGGTGTTATGCTGAGCAAAATAAGTCAGGCAGAGAAGGACAAATATCAAATGTTTGCACATATAGGAGGATTAGGTGAACTTAACTGAGGAACAAGGGGGAGAAGAAGGAGGGAAATGGTGGGGGAAAGGGAGAGAGGCAAACCTTGAGAGACTCTTGAATGCTGACAAAAACTGAGGACTGATGGATGTAGGAGGGGGATGGGCATGGAGTAGGGCACTTGTGGGGATGAGCACTGGGTGTTATGTGGAAACTAATTTGACAATAAACTATTTGTAAAAAAAAAGAAAAGAAAGAAAAAAAAGAAAAAATGACTAGTTCAGCTCAAGCAACCACACAAGTGCTTTTCTTTGAGACTACCCTTGTACTCTGAAATGGTGTTATCTATACCTCTCATTGTGTCACACAAACTGTAAAAAGGGTAAAAATTTAATACAATAATTTTCAAATTGCACATAATAACGAATAGAATTATTAGTATAGTTTTGATCATGACCTTGATTTGTCTGAAGGTGCCAGTTTTACACAACCTTGATTTTGTGCTACCAGTGCACATGGAAACATAGTAAAAAAAGGAAAAAAAAAGAAAAAATAAAGGCAAAAAAGAAAAGTCTTGTCACATGAAAACAATTTGACATCACAGATCCAATGAAAGTGTCTAGAGGACCTCCAGGATCCATGGACCACATTTTGAGAACCACTCTCTATAATAATATTGCCTGTGACAGGGAAAACAGGAATGAAATGAAATATTATCTTCATTATCCATTTACCCTATGTAATTCATTCCCCCAGAAGAGCTTCTTTACAATTATTTATGAAACTCAATGCTCTAGTTACAGGGCAAACGAAAAATACCAGAGATTTTATTTTGAGTTTTAAAGGCACTAGAATTTACACCATGCCCCGCCATCATATTAACTGCTATAGAACTTTTGACTGAAATACAGGTAGAAAAAAAGTAACTCAGGGTTTACTGGGGGGGTCTCAGTCAGTTAAGTGACTGACTCTTGGTTTCAGCTCACGTCATGATCTCATGGTTAGTGAGTTCGAGCCCCATACTGGGCTCTGCACTGACATCCCAGAGCCTCCCTGAGATTCTCTCTCTCGCGCTCTCTCTGACTCTCATTTGCTAGTGCTCATGCACAGGCTCTTTCTCTCTCTCTCAAATAAATAAACCAAAAAAAAAAAAAAAAGTATCTCAGATACAAGCTTTAGCTTGGGACACTTGAAACATCTTTTCACTATGGCATAGAAAAGATATATTGTTTTCAATTTAGGCTATTTTATAAATAATAATCTTATAATAATCCTTGAGTTATATCAGTAACAGTTTAAAAACATAACTTTTTTTTGTTTGTATAGAGTATGCAATGTGATTAAACTTACAGACATCCTATGGCTTCACGTCTTAGTACTGCATCCTAACATGGATTCACACAAATAAGGATGTACCAGCAACCATTTGTGAACAATTAATTTGTAATACCCAGTCACTGGTTTTTTGTAGATAAGTAAAAGATCAGCATTTCTTTCAATTAATCAACCTTACAGCAAGAAATCAATATATGTATAAGAAATGTCATATTTGACAAGTGATTATGACTTAATTGTTGGAGAATTTAGCAATTTGGAACAATTAACATGATTATGCTATGTCCCAAGGGTTGTGCAATTTTATTAAGAAATTTCTGTTGGAATTTAATGCAGCATATTTCATTTTTCAGAGAACCTATACTTTTTGAAGATATTCTTCTTTAGGATATTCTATGTTTTAAAACACAAAGACGTTCACCAATATAGAGAATTACTGTCAACTTTGATGGTAAATATATTGTAAGGTTATCTCATACACAAGAAGACACTCTACTCCCTTTGTGACATGTACATTACCTTGTATCACATTTAACACTTCATTAGATGAACGCTTTCCCATAATAATCAGAAAAAGTGGAAACTGATCTGTTTTTTGAGTCCGAATGGTTTGTGCAACAACACTGCCAAAATGTCTATTGCACATTGTCAGAAATCTAAAATGAGAAAAAAGTCAAAGTCAGTTTCATTTTTGAGAGTTTAATAAACTTACTAGTTCTCCAACAACAAAAAATCACTGTTTTACTAATTATGTTACAATTAGATAGCCTGTCTGATATCAGTATATACAATCCTGCTATATTTAGTTTTCAACGATATCTTAAACGATACAGAAATGATTATCATATAGGAAAGCAGGCAGCACTCCCTAAATGCTGGCTGGCAGCGGACAGCATGGGACAGTCTTAAACACTGCAAGCTATACTGCCCTAAACAATGAGAAAAACAAACAAAATGAATTTTAAGAGGAAAGAATTTCTTAAATACAAATACCGTGTGGTACAAAGTTAAATTGACTGGCAGCATCCCAGACTAAACAGGATTTAGCAACATTTCACAAGTCTTTAGCATCAAGAATTGTACTTTAGAATTGTGTTTTCTCCAGTAGTAGCAGGTCTTCTAGTTTCATACTTACCATGGGATAAAAATAATAATTCTAAGCTTTTGACCAAAAAAGCTCAGAGATATTAGCATACTGAAGTCTAGCATTAGTATTCTTAACACGATCTGGAATAAATGAAAAAACTGATAAAGCTTTTCTCTTCTATTAGAGGACTGTTTGAAATTAGCATTTCTTTCAAGAGAAAAGGGTAGCTTATGATATGTTTTCAGATCTGATGGTAAAAAGTAAATGTCATAATAATAATGAATTATGAAAGACCAAATGCAAATATAGAATGCTTTAATAAGATCCAATTTAATAAAGTCTGTAAAAATAATGGACTTTTAATAACACAGGTCACAAAAGGCAAAACAGTGGAAATTCTGGGGACTAGCCACTGGTACTGGCTTATTAATTCTTAATTATGTTCATGAAAGGCAACTTAAATCGTGTGTTTTCTTATGCCTTATGATAATATTTTAGGTAACAACTCCTCTGAAATGTATGTCCTAGCTGATGAGCAAAATCCTGTTGTCACATGCATTAGAAGGTAAATCTATTTGAAAAGACAAACAGCATTAAAATGTCATGTGCTCAGATTCATTTGATATCCAAATTCAAAACAGAATCAAACCTCTTAATTTTTAAAGCCCATATATCTCTTGTCTATAGAAATTCATCCCAGAAATTTAGGTTGAATCCTCCACAAAACCTGTGCTGTGACTATAGGAAGTAGACCATGTTAAGGGCCACGAGAGCTGTCAGCAAGAGTGTCAAGACAAGTTAGCACCACAGCAATAAGTTCATTGGGAGGCAGTTTCATATATATATATTTAGAGCAGCAATAACTAGACCTCATGGCAATTTGAAATGACAAGGACCTAAGAAATCCATTATTGGCCATGAAATATCAGTTTTTCCATGAAAATTCAGATCTTCACATTCCAGAACTATTATACGATAAAAGGTGCTCAAGTAGCCAAAGCCTCCAGTACCAAATTTCACACCTGTATAGTTTTAATTCATCAGTGGAGATCTGCAGATCAGGACACTCGGACATTAGGATGTCATTTTTCTTTCTGCTCTTACTAAAATATTTGAGGCCAATCTTGACCCTGATTTGATCATTGGCAACCTCTGAATTTAAAGATATCAAAGAACAATTGGAATGTCATTCCCTACAAAAGGGAGAAAATAAGTCCTTCTTGCTTTCACATCACTGGATCAAGTGGATATCACAGCACTAACCTCACAAGTGATATTAAATATTACCTAAACAGGATACTCCCAAAAAAGGAAGGGAGGAAAGAAGTCAGGAAGGAAAGAAGGAGAAAAAAAACGAAAGCAGGCAAGCAGGCAGGTTGGTTAGCTTAGTGGCTTAAAGTATTCAATTTCAAGACAATTTGCCTGGAAACTGTGTACTTCCCAAATTGTCATTTTATGAAAATGAGCGAGAAGGGAAAATAATTATGAAAATATAGGTATCTTCTTGAGTTTAAATTAATATACAACACACATTTCAAAACTTCACAAAATGTATTCAATAGAAATACAGCCTTCAAAGGCACATTAGCTGTTCAATTAACTATAAAAAACAACAAAGTGATCAGTCTTCTAGCAGGTATTGGCAAATCATTCTAATGTTTTGGAAGTAGTTGAGAAATACACAGGAATCCCACAGCCAGTTGATGCTTTCTAGTGGCCTTAACTAACAATTTGTTCTAATCAAAGAGAGACTTTGTTAAATTTTTAATTAATCTAATTAATCTTCCTAAGATCTGAATCATGTTTACTTTGAGATTTTCAAATTACAATCAATGAGAGCCACCTATAGGGCCAATAGACAGCCAAGCCCCAAATTACAAAATTCCTACTTGTCAGTTCCTTCTACTACAATTTACAAGATTTCACCATGCAGATATCACATCCTTCTCATGGCTAGGAGACTCTGCTTCTTCCTCTCAATATCATAGCACAAAGTTACCATTCATAGCACACTACCAGCAGCAAAAATCTATTTCAGAACGTTAGCACAAAAATAGACAAGGGAAAAACAAATTGTTTCAAGAAAAAAATGTGGTTCTCAGAATTGTGTGGCATTTTCTTCCTTTCTAAAGAGATAAAAGTGTGCTAGTGCATCTAATGGCAGCACCAAACTTGTCAGCCTAGCTGCATATGGTGTTCATGAGAGTCAGGTTTCACGAAGGGATAAATGGTTTCAACGGCAATTGGATTCCTACAAATCAAACCCAGAAGGGGAAGCAATGGCAACTGTTCCATGGAAAGGAGAAATGGCTTTGTTTTTTAATTATATAAGCTTTAAATAAATGAAACAACTTACTCTAGATATATCTAATTAAGGAGAGGGAATAAGTTCCCATATCAACCCTCCAAAACAAAAAGCTAAAATGACAAATTTAAAAGACAATGGGATCAGTTTCTTGATTTCTCTTTCTGTTGCTTCATTATTGGTGTATAAAAATGCAACTGATTTCGGTACATTGATTTTGTACCCTGCAACTTTGCTGAATTCATGGATCAGTTCTAGTAGGCTTCTGGTGGGTCTGTTGGGTTTTCTATGTAGAGTATCATGTCAGCTGCGAAAAGTGAAAGTCTGACTTCTTCTTTGCCAATTCTGATGCCTTTTGTTTCCTTTTGTTGTCTGATGGCTTGTGATAGGACTCCCAGCACTACATTAAACAACAGTAGTGAGAGTGGACATCCCTGCCGTGTTCCTGATCTCAGGGGGGAAGCTCTCAATTTTTCCCCATTAAGGATATTAGCTGAGGGCTTCTCACAGATGGCTTTTATGATGTTTAAGTAAGTTCCTTCTATTCCAACTTTCTCGAGGGTCTTTATTAAGAAGGGATGCTATATTTTGTCAAATGCTTTTTCTGCATCTATTGACAGGATCATATGGTTTTTATCTTTTCTTTTGTTAATGTGTTTTATCATATTTATTGATTTGTTAATATTGAACCAGTTCTGTAACCCAGGAATGAATCCCACTTGATCATGGTGGATAATTCTTTTTATGTGCTGTTGGATTCAATTTGCAAGTATCTTGTTGAGGATTTTAGAAAACTTATGAAGGAAATTGAAGAAGACACAAAAACTGGAAAAACATTCCATGCTCATGGGTCAGAAGAAAAAATATTGTTAAAATGTCATTACTACCCAAAGCAATCTACACATTCAATGCAATCCCAATCAAAATTGCACTAGCATTCTTCTCAAAACTAGAACAAACTATCCTAAAATTTGTATGGAACCACAAAACACCCGGAATAGCCAAAGTAATATTGAAGAAGAAAACCAAAACGGGAGGCATCACCATCCCAGACTTTAGCCTCTACTACAAAACTGTAATCATCAAGACAGTATGGCTTAACCGACTGAGCCACCCAGGTGCCCCTATAAGACAGTATGGTATTGGCACAAAAGCAGACACATAGACCAATGGAATAGAATAGAGAACCCAGAATTGGACCCACAAATGTATGGCCAACTGATCTTTGACAAAGCAGGAAAGAATATCCAGTGGAAAAAAGACAGTCTCTTTAGCAAATGGTGCTGAGAGAAGTGGACAACAACATGCAGAGGATTGAAACTAGATCATTTTCTCACACCATACACAAAAATAAACTCAAAATGGATAAAGGACCTGAATGTGAGACAGGAAGCCATCAAAACCCTAGAGGAGAAAGCAGGAAACAACCTTCTTGACCTCAACCGCAGCAATTTCTTACTTGACACATCCCCAAAGGCAAGGGAATCGAGAGCAAAGATGAACTATTGGGACCTCATCAAGATTAAAATTCTGCACAGCAAAGGAAACAATAAAACTAATAGGCAACTGACAGAATGGGAAAAGATAGTTGCAAATGACATATCAGATAAGGGCTAGTATCCAAATCTATAAGGAACTCACCAAACCCCACTCCTGAAAAACAAATAATCCCAGTGAAGAAATGGGCAGAAGATATGAACAGACACTTCTTCAAAGAGGACATCCAGATGGCCAACAGACACATGAAACGATGCTCAGCATCCCTCCTCATCAGGGAAATACAAATCAAAACCACACTGAGATACCACCTCACGCCGGTCAGCGTGGCTAAAATGAGCAAATCAGAGGACTCTAGATGCTGGCGAGGATGTGGAGAAATGGCCACCCTCCTACACTGTTGGTGGGAATGTAAACTGGTACAGCCCCTCTGGAAAACAGTGTGGAGGTTCCTCAGGAAACTAACAATAGAACTCCCCTAAGACCCAGCAATAGCACTGCTAGGAATTTACCCAAGGGATATAGGAGTGCTGCTGCATAGAGGCACATGGACCCCAATGTTCACAGCAGCACTCTCCACAATAGCCAAAACATGGAAAGAGCCTAAGTGTCCATCAACGGACGAATGGATCAAGAAGATGTGGTTCATCTATACAATGGAATACTACATGGCAATGAGAAAGAATGAAATCTGGCCATGTGTAGCAACATGGATGGATCTTGAGGGTGTTATGCTGAGCGAAATAAGTCAGGCGGAGAAGGGCAGC